CCCACGACGTCCTCACCTCCTACCTGCCCCTCGGTCAGCCTTGCGATTCCATCCGCCTCAGGTCTTGCCAGTTGTGTCCTCGCAGAACAAAAGGTAACTCCTAGTTTTCGGCTACTCAATTCTAGACTTTTTTGCTCTTGGAAGTGTGTAGACCTTGATGTCTAGAAGCTTGATTACAGCCGGCCAAAGACAGCTCAATCTCATTTCAGTTCTCTGTGCTGCAAGTAGATATGGACTCACTAGGCTTCCTCAGCTTCTTGAGTCCGATTGTGCAGTATCGGTTGCAGAAGCGACTGGTACACGCAAGCGTTGATCAGCCGTTGGAAATTTGTAATATTGTTTTTTGTACTGACACTACAAGAACCAATGCTGCCAGTGGTGTGGTGGTTAGGTGGTTGCGGTGCTTGCGGTGCTTGCGGTGGTGAAGGTGGTGCCTGTGCAGCTGCTGCTTTCTCGTGATCGTGCATGCTGCTGCTGCTGCTGCTGCTGCTACTACTAGTACTGCTACTACTACCAGCCTCAATACTATTCTACCAACACTGCCAATACGACGACGACGACGACAACGACGACGACGACTACTACTACTACCACTTCGGCTACTACTCCTGCTGCTACAGCTGCTACCGCTACTGCTGCAACTCCTAGTATTACCACCACTACCACTACTACTCCTCCTGCTGCTGCTGCTGCTAATTCTACGACCACGACGACGACGACGGCTTCGACTACTGCTGCTTTTGCCGGTGCTACCACTCCCCCTGCTCCTAGTCCCGCTCCCGTTCCTCCTGCTACTACAACCACCACGACCTGCTCCTCCCGCTGCTCCTGCCCCTGCTGCTGCTCTTGGCCCTGCTCATGTTGCTACGGCTATTGCTATTGCCACTGCTACCGGTACTGGCAGTGCTGGCATGGCTACTGCTACTGCGCCGCTACTGCTACTGCTACTCCTCTTGGTGCTGCTCTTGCTCCAACTCCTCCTCCTGCTAGTGGTAGTAGTTGTCGATGTCGTCGTAGTCGTCGGAGTAGTAGGCGTAGTCGTTTGGTTCTACTTTCAGAACTCCTACTAGTACTGCTGCTAACCTTTCTGGCCCAGCCGTTGCGGAGCTCGCATGTCAGATGAGGCTCCTCTTCCAGTTGGGAAGCAAGGCCAACCTCACCGACGTTCGGCTCCATCAGGCTTTGAAGAGCAGGCAGACCCTCTGAAGGGACTCAGGATTAGCGTGCTTCGTGACTTAGTCCTGAGACCCCCTTCTCCAACTTTTGAAATTCCGGCATGCTTCAAACCGCAGGCTCTCTCAGAGGGAGGATTGGCACGAGCTCAGAGATTTCGAGAGCGACACCCTCATGAATTTTGAGTACGACCGCGCCCATGCCGCAAATCCGTTCCTGGAGCCGCAGTACTCCTTCCAGGACCGACAAGCATAATCATATTTTTATTCACAATCGCGATCAGAGTCATACTTAATTCGATTGATTTCAGTTTTCATAATACGAGCTCTGTTACTATATCAGTAGAAACATTTATGAATAATAGCAGCAAGTATTACCCAGAGCAATAGTAATACTAATGGCAGTATCGATCATGATAATGGCAATGATCGTAGTAGTATGTTGTAGTCGTCGTCGTTGTAGCAGTAGTAAGTAGCAGCAGCCGGAGTAGTGGTAGTCGTCGTCGTAGCAGTAGCAGTAGTAGCAGCAGGAGTGTAGTAGTAGTAGTCGTCGTCGTCGTCGTAGTAGTGGCAGTAGTAGTAGTAGTAGTAGTAGTAGTAGTAGTAGTAGTAGTATCAGTACTAACTAACATACCACAACACCAATCTTAGAAGCACCGATAGTAGCAACATTAGTTGAGCAACAATCACAATATTGATCAGTGCTGTAGTATTAATAAAAATAGCAATACCCATAATCATGGTAATTGCTGGTGGTAATGATCGGCAATGGCAGTGGCTACTCTTAACTGTGGCTTTTGGTTTGTGGGGCTTCCGGCTTATGGCTTCGGTACTTGTAACTACCATGATAAGAACAATCATGACCCTAAACCCTAAACCCCTGAACTCTGAATATTTGCAATGTTATGGAGGCCTATGGAGGCGACAAATCACAAGACTGAAGCAGAAGCCCAGCGAAAGCCTGCCTGCCGGCTCTGAGGACAAGTTCCTGTTGTAATAATCATAGTAGTAAGACTCCTAAAAAATCGTAATGACAATGATCATCATAATAAGAGTAATAAAAATCTTCACAATATTACTTGTCATACATACTAATAATGGGAAGAATGTTAAACAGGCTCCAGGAAGCCCGGGGCGCCTTGCCTTTCAAGTGAACAGGGAAGCTGGGGATTTCCTGAGTATCGAGTATCGCAGTACTGTAAGAGTATGATAAGTGCTATAAGGGACTTTCCGAAAATTGGGGGTACCTTATTTTGGGGTCCTTATAGTAAGGATCCGACTTTTTAGGGTACTATATTGGGTCCCCTATTTTCGGAAACCCCCATAAGAGTTGCTACAAGGGTTGCTACGAAATTAGTATTCGGGTGCTATCATGCAGCCAGCTCAACCACCCTCGTTTTTTTCCACTTGCATGTAGCTCTGTCTTTTTTTGATCCGAAACCCTGAGGCGGGTAAACCCCAAGCCCTTTCAGAGCTCAGGGCCTCCTTGAAGCCTCAGCCAAAAGTTTTCGTAGTCCTAAGCCACTGTTGCTCTGTGGCCAACAGAAAGGCATTCGCTTCCCAGAGACTGCGCAGGATCTCACGGACATGGTTGGCGAGATGGCGCACGGCTACGGCAAGCGTCCCGACACCTCTTACTAAGCGGGGGCTACGAATGGATCCAGTTGGGATGTTGGTTTTGAGTTGCATTGTACTGCCACCGTCATCGGACGACCCCTAACCTGCAAAGGATACGAGAACACAACCCAGCTCCAATAGCAAGCAAAGCAACGGCGGCCACCGAAAATACAAAACACCGGTGCAACAGCAAAACGGACACAACACCTACCGGTGTCAGAGCCTACTCACATACGACATGCGAATGACCCCCGAAGTTCTTTGCAGCATCTACACACAGCCCATTCATCTCGGCACTCGTTTCCCGGTATTTTGCCGCAATGCTTGCCTTGTCTGGAAAGAAGTTCATACACATTGCATTGCAGTTGTGGAGCAACCCCCATCCCAAAGCCCTACGGTGTATAGAGAAGTACTATTTTTCCCAACATCGTCGTTCCTGCTCTGATCATGAAAGCAATGTCTGCACAATGATGCTCCGGCTAGACTGATCTTTGCACTCAGGGTGTACAGGTGGGCATTGCGACAGCAAACACGCCTCTAGGCTACACAAGAATCCCTTCATGTCGGTCGTCACATGTAAAGACACACCTGGAGGCTCCGCCATATCTCAGGATATCCGTAAACCCTAAACCCCAAATCATCCGGTAAGCCTGTCTCTCCCCTGAGCCCATAGGTGGCAGAACCGCGAGTGCCAAGAGATGAAGGCAGAGCTGATGGAGGCCAGGAGCGAAGAGGCAGCATTGTTCAGGCATAGGATGTAGGAGTTGAGCATTGTCGTAGTTGTAGATGTTATAATGCTTCTGCAACAGGAGTTTACTTCCCTTTGCTTGTCAGGAATGTGAGAAGGTCGGCTGTAAGCGTCGTGTCGACGATGTCAACACGGCTGGAGAGGTAAGCGGTAATCGTCATAGTATTCATAGTAGTATAGCGTTGACAAGAGTAGTTAGTCGTATTGATCCGTCGTCTTCGTCATCGTAGTAGTAGTAGTAGTAGTAGTAGTAGTAGCAGTAGTAGTAGTAGTAGTAGTAGAAGTAGAAGTACAAGTAGGTAGTAGTAGTAGTAGTAGTAGTAGTATTCGCAGTAGCAGTAGTAGTAGTAGTAGTAGTAGTAGTAGTCGTCGTCGTAGTACTGGCAGTAGTAGTAGTAGTAGTAGTAGTAGTAGTAGTAGTAGTCATCGTAGTAGTAGTAGTCGTCGTCGTCGTCGTCGTCGTATGTAGTAGCCATCGCCGTAGCAGTAGCAGTGTGTAGTATGTACTAGTAGTAGTAGTAGTAGTAGTAGTAGTAGTAGTAGTGGTGGTAGTAGTAGTAGTAGCAGTAGTAGTACTAGTATTAACAATATTATGATTATTATTAGTAGTAGCCGTCGTAGTAGTGGTAGTAGCAGTAGCAGTAGAAGTAGGAGTAGTAGCAGTAGTAGTAGTAGTAGTAGTAGTAGTAGTAGTAGTGGTAGTAGCAGTAGCAGTAGCAGTAGCAGTAAGAGTAGCAGTAGCAGTAGCAGTAGCAGTAGCAGGCACAAGTTCGTTTAACAACGAACTCAAACGGCAAACACAAGCTGCTACGGTGGGAAAATTTTTGGTGGTTCTACATGATTCGCCATCAGTTTCAACCCCAAGACCTGAACCAAAACAACCATGATGCAGTACAAGAAAGAAACGGAGTTTTAGTAGGTAGAACCAGGTGGAAGACTGGTGGCAACGACGGCCGTGGTTACACCCCGAAGCCCTGGGTGAAAGAACAACTCGCTAGACAAGGCATGCGAATACCCTAAACCCTAAACCAAACCATCCTTTCAAGACAAGCAACACTCAAACAGCCTCAAAACCTATGAACATGAAGTCTAAGGCTCCAAATGTTGTGGGCTTGACTTAGCCCGAAACCCGAAACGCCCTCAGCCATATCTTAAATTACCATCACCTACTCTTTTGTAGGTTCTGATGTTTTCCCCTGATGTTTAGGTTTGGGTAGCTCTAAGTGATAGAGACGAAAGACCTCCACCCAGCTTGTTCAGGGTTGCCTATCAGGGTTCCATTAGGGTTCTAGTATCAGGTTCTATTGGGGTGCCACGTCGGGCACGGGTTTTACTAGGGTTCGTCGGGTTCTACTAGGGCACCCGGAAGTGTAGTACAATGTTTATGCTGATGTCATACATTATAGTCGTAAAGGTCCCCACGAAAGGACCTAATGTAGAAGTGTGGATGCTTACTACATTATTCCTTGATTTTCCTTTCATGGCTGACGTTCATATCAGTTCATATGATTCATATGTGTATATATAAGACCCGAAAACGCAATTATAATCATTAAGCCATGCACGTTAAACTTGAGGACGGATTTTCAAGTTAAGCGCTGAGGCCTTGGGCCCCCAACAGGTTTCGACCCGGAGCCCTGAACATGATGGCTCCCATGGACCCTTCGGGTTTAGGGTGTAGGGAGTTTAGGGCATTGGGTTTAGGGAGTTTAGGGAGTTTAGGGCATTGGGTTTAGGGAGTTTAGGGAGTTTAGGGCTTTGGGTTTAGGGAGTTTAGGGAGTTGAGGGCTTTGGGTTTAGGGTAGGGGTTTAGGGTTTAAGGCTTTGGTTTTAGGGTTTAGGGTTTAGGGTTTATGTAGGGGCCTTAATAATTAGAATAGTGAATAGGGTTTTTGGGGGGTTCCTTATTGTATTTAAAGCATAATATACCCCAAACCCTATTCTAATTGCTAATCGCTGAGGCCCCTATACTACTAAACCTTATGTGCTACCCTTTGGAGGAACGCATGATTGAAGCCCTCGGCTTCAGAATCGAAGGAGCCCTGTAGGATGTAAGGTTAGGGTGATAATGGCTTCTGTAGGGCTCCTTAAACGGATCGGGTTTAAGGGTTCCTTAAAGGGATCTACAAGGGCTTCTATCTTGAGCGTTACAGCTCAAACCCTAAACCCTCCAGAACCTCACTGAAGCTATCTACTTATCTCAAACCCTGTAGAGCAACCGATGAAACCCTATCAAAGCCAAAACTCTGCAACACACCACCCTCCTTCTGCAAAACAACAACCAACCAAAACAAGCATTGCCCGAAAAAAACTGTCCTAAACCCTTAATCCTTACACCACCCCGCTCTCCCTGGCCTAGACCCCAAATTTACTTATCCTAAACCCCTAACCCTAAACCCTATACGATAAACCCTACACCCTAAACCCGAAACCCAAACCCCTAAACCCTAAAACCTTAACCCTAAGCCCTAAACGCTAAAACCCTAAAGCCCTAAACCCTAAAACCAACTCTCAAAAGGCATTTCTGTTCTGCCTCAGGGCTTAGAGGCGCTGGCCACTCGCCAAGCTCCGGCGAGTCTGTCAGGGACAGAAGCGGTTGTGGGTCATGGGTTTAGGGTTTAGGGTTGAGATTCTTTAGGGTTTAGGGCTTCGGGTGGGTTTCAAGTTGTTTTTCGGGCAGTTTTCCATCAGTTTCCGGTTTAGGGTTTCGGGGTTTTAGTGTTTTTGGCGGGTGTAGGGTTTCGCGGGGTCTAGGGGGGGGTTTAGGGTTTCGGGGGCGCTCAGGGTTAAGGGTTTAGGGAGGGTTATAAGACATTAGATGCGGCATGCTCGGATAGAAGCTATATGAAGGTAGGGAGTTGAATTGCAAATCCTAATCCCTGAATCTAGTTTGAGGGCCGCAGGTTTTTCTCGCGCGAAACTCTTGGCAATGCTTCTGAGTCAGCGTCACGAGGTCCAGCCCTCCGAAAACGCGGCTGCAGTACCAGACGCTGCAATACTGGGTGTAGGGTTTTGGGTTTAGGGTTTAGGGTTTAGGTGGGTTCCGGGGATCTGACTTTTCCCTGCTGCGAGCTCCGCGAGCATCGCTTCCTCATCGCCGGGCTCTATGGTCTTCATTGTAGTTCCCTTCTTGGCTAGCCAATTCAGGATTCTATAGCTTAAGGCTGGTTAACCAAAATAGGAACTACAATGCCGATTTTAAGGATCTCTAAACCCTAAACCCTAATGTAGGGGCCTTAAAAAAAAGAACAGGGTTTGGGGGGTATAATTTAAATAAGGAGCCCCCAGGTAATTATTTAGGCCTCATCGTCGGGATCCCCGTCCTTCCGGCCGGGCAGGGGCCGGTGCTGAGTCCGTCGGCGGGGACTCTGCCCGCTTTGTTTTTGAGCCTTGGCCTTCTTGGTGCCCTTGCGAGCCCTAAACCCAAAACCCAAAACCCTAAACCCCCTAAAACCCCAAAACCCCTAAAACCCAAAACCCTAAACCCTAAACCCCAAAACCCTAAACCCCTAAACCCTAAACCCTTCACAGGAGTTCTTGGCTCATCCTCCTCCAGCAAAGAGATAGGCTCGGCGGCCTTGCCTGGCATCTCTGCTTCTGCCGGCCTTGTTCTTGTTTAGGGTTTAGGGCTTTGGGTTTAGGATTTAAGCGGTTTAGGGTTTAGGGTTTAGGATTTAAGGGGTTTAGGGTTTAGAGTTTAGGGTTAGGGAGACCCCTTAACTTAAAGGGGACTTATTCTTGGCCTTGCCCTTGGGCTTGGCAGCCTCAGCACCCAAGTCATGGCCTTCGAGCTCCATGGTGCGAGAACCTTCGTGCTGCCAAATTCAAGGACCCTCAACTCTGAACCCTGAAGCCCTACCCTAAAACCCTGAACCCTAAACCCTGAACCCTAAAGCCCTAAACCCTGAACCCCTCAACCCTAAACCCCAAACCCTGAACTCTGAATCTGAACTCAAAACCCCAAAGCCTAAACTCTTTTTAAGTTGAGCGGGAGCCTGCACACGGCGGCAACCCTACAGGCCTAAGGTATGGCTTGTGGTTTAGGGTTTATAGGGGTGTAGGGTTCAGGGTTCAGGCTTTAGGTAGAAAGTTGAAATAAGGGTTTAGGCGGTTTAGGGTTTAGGGTTTACAGTTTAGGGTTTAGGGCTTAGGGTGAACACCATTATCCTCATGCCCTCCAGGTCCAGGTGAAGCATACGCAAAACAAGCACCAATCATCCTCAGCCCATGTTCAAACCTTCACAGGCTCCAACTTCTCAGGGTTCAAGTTATCCCATGTTGCATTCTTGAAGGCTCTGGTATTCTGCACGATGCCCTAAGCCCTGAACCCTGAACCACTAAACCCTACAAACCCTGAAAGCCCTCAAACCGTAAACCTTAAACCGTAAACCCTGCAAACACTAAAAGCCCTAAACCCTATAAGTACGAAGCCCTATCTAGCCTAACAGCCCTAAGACCTAAACCCTATACACACTAAACCCTGTAAACCCTAAAAGCCCTAAACCCTCTAAGCACTAAACTTCACTAAACCCTACAAGCCCACAACCCTAAACCCGATAAAACCTAAACCCTAAAAACGCTAATAGCCCTAAACCCTAAACCCTATACACAATAAACGCCATAAGCCCTAAAACCCTAAACCGTATACACTCTACACCAATTGAACCCTAAACCGTAAACCCTAAACCCTGAAAGCCCTAAACCCTAAACCCCCAAGTGGACCCCTAGGGATTACGCTGGGAAGGACGCGAGACTCGTTGGGGTCGGAGCCCCAAAAAGAGAATCTCAGGAACCACAGACCTGTAGAAGGGCTGCATTAGGGTTTTGGGTTCTAGGATCTAGGGTTTAGGAAAAAGGGTTAAGGGTTTAGGGATTTAGAGGTTTAGGGTTATTATCAGGATTCTTTAATTTAAGTGTTCTAATTCTATCGAGGATTGCGAGGGCTTGTTGAAGATTCTACGCTGCTTCGCC